CTCCCCTCCCCACGGCCGCCGAGCCCACCGGACTGCGGGCTGGACCGGCCCGCCGCCGCCCTCGTGATTTATCTGGGTTTTTAATTGGAAAAAATTTGCGAATTAATTGATTTCAGGAACTTGCCAATTAACATTGTAATTGGGTGCGTGATAAATTCCCAAGGAGCGTGTCAGCTCCCTCCGGGCTGACGGCGCCCGCGTGCCCGGGTGGCGCGGGGCGGGCCCCAGCCGCGGCTGCCCTTGCCCCGCCCCTGCCTCTCTCTGTGAGGCCGGAGGCGCGCGAGGAGGCTGAGCAAAGACGGGGCACCCGGGCGCTGAGGCTCCAGGCTCCTCCTCCCCCTGCCGTCAGCTCGCCGAACTGTGGGGTCTTGATCAACCGTTTCGCAGATGGGGAAACTGACTCCTGCAGGAGAGTAAAGTCACGTCTGCGTCTGCGTCACTCAGAGAGTTCTGGGCAGACCGCAAATGAGGCAGGGCATCCCCCATGCATGGCACGCGTCCTGTGGCTCCTGCCCCCTCACCCAACCACGTTAGCTGCATCCTCCTTGATCCTCTCCCTTCTCTCCTCTCCTGGGTGGGATATAAGGCTGCTGCCACCTTTGAAGTGCCAGCTGCCCCGGGGGCACAGCCTGGGCCACTACCTCCAACCCCTCCCTTGTACAAGTTATAAAACTTGACTGATGCTTTCACTTAAACCCCCGTACAGGGCACAAGGCATGCAGAGAGGAGTGAGAAATGGCCCTGCCCCTCAGACGCTCACAGATTGGCAGTGAGGAGAGGCAGGCAATGGAGACCCTGAGGGTGCTTGCTTCCGCCACAGATACACTAAAATTAGAAACCCGAAGGGACCAAGGCTTCTTGTGGAAGCACAAGGGAGCACCAAACCCAGCTTGGAGCAGAGAAGTCCTCCTGAGGGAACTGGGGCCTGAGCTGAATTTTGAAGGAAGAAGTATTAGTTACCTATCGTTGTGGTATACAAATTACCCCCAAACCTAGCAGCTTAAAACAACATTCACTATCTCACTGTTGCCAAGGGCCATGGAATCAGACACTACTGACTCCAACACGTTCTATTCATTGCAAGCAAGATACCAAGTCCACCCCATTCCATATAGGACAGTTAAATTTGTAAGCTCTACCTGTTGAATGGAAGAGAATTAAAGAATTTGTGGGAATGCTTACAGCTACCACAGAAGACTGTACTAACCAAAGCAAAAATAAGCCTTATTGAACACTAACTCCTGTCAAGTACTTGACATAGCATTCATTTATCTGTGCTATAACCCTCATAATAATGACAGGTAATCATTATTAACTGCATTTAAAAGAGTTAAAACCATTCTACAGATGAGGAAACTGAGGCACAGAAGAATTGCATGATTTTTCCAATCCTAACAGGCTTGGAAGAATGAAGAGTAAAGATTCAAATTCAAGTCCATGCTCTTACCCACCACCACCCCCACCCCAGCCCCAGAACTATTATAGTTTGGAGTGAATGGCCACAGAGAGAAGCTTCCTCTGCACTTGAGTTCTGTACCTTGGCTGTGCAGGACAGTTCCTCCCCATGCAGACTCCCCTCAGAGCCCAAGATGGTGTAATAATCTTGTAAAAGCTGTGCACCCCTATTGGTTTGGAGAATGGGACCCCAATCTCTTTTTCTGCCTTCTCCTTGGGGCCACACTACAGTCTAGTCCCCAGGACCCCACCTCTGAACTCCCGGGAGACCCACTGCTGGTAACAGACCCCCCCCTTGTTCCATCCCACCCCATGATCCTCCCCGCCGACACCCCCCACCCCGCCACATCCTCTCAGAGCGGACCCTACTTCACACCCTTACCCGCACCTCCTTTCCCCTCCCGGAGCC